TTTTTGTTTTATTTCATGCGTTCATTTGTTTTGCTTGTAGGTTCCATATGAGTGAAATCTTTGTCCTTCCTTATCTGATTTACTTTGCTTAGCGTGTAATACACTCAAGGTCTATCCATATTATTACAAAGGGCAAGATTTCATTCACTTTTATAGCTGAGTAGTAGTCTACTGTGTAAATGTACCTCAACTTCCTTATGCACTCATCTGTCAATGGACACTTAAGTAGTTTCCATGTCTTCAGTATTGTAAATTATAATACTACGATGAACATATGAGTACATGTATCGTTGCAAATTGGTCTCTTTGTATTCTTTAGACAAATACCCAGAAATAGCATAGTTGGGTCATATTATAGTTCTATTAATAACTTTTTGAGGAAGCTCCATAAAGATTTGGAATTTTTAATCAAACACCTGATTTATAATAAGTATGTAGGTTAGTTACAAGAGTCTTTTTGAAGATTCTAAAAGATACATCTAGATTCATTTGAAAGCAATGTGAGAAAATAAACTTGTAAACAATGCACAATACAAATAACGGTTCCTCCATTTCCTAGAATGTAATGCTGAATTTCTCAAATGTAAAATGGGAACCATTATACCTACTCTGAAGGATAATCATGAGGACTGAATTAACTGAGATAATACAGTGCTGAGGACAGAAGGGTGCTCAGTAGCCCTTATTTCCCTTCCCTTTGATCTTTATTATGCTTCGTGTCACTTCAAGATATACACCTCTTCTTTGGTATAGTTATGTACCAAACCCTGCCCATTACCCATGAATGGGATTTGCTTGAAATGAAAGGAAGGAAAAGAAGGCAGGTACAGGGGAGAGGGACTTAAGAAAAGACTTACGAGATTATGGAGCAAATATTATAGAAGACAGAAAATAAAGGGGTTGAGTGAAGAGAAGAGAAACAGGGGAACAGAGTTAGATTGCCCAGTATGGAATTGATCAATCTGTAATCATTGAAAAGCAAGAAGGGTTGTTAGTAGTATCTTTGCAGGGGATAAAAGTGATGATAAAATTCAGTGGGACAGGTATTACCCAGCGCAGGCCTAGCTAGTTTGGTTTTCTAGTACTAAAGCAGTGTTGGAAGATAGGAAGTGATCTTAGGGTAGATGTAGTTAGGAGAAGGAGGAATGCTATCAACCATTAGTATTGCAGGACCTAACAGGAAGTTTGTAAAGCCCAAGAAATGCCAGCATTTTAATTTCTGAAATTTCTACTTAATATTTATTCATTTGTACATCTTGCAAACAGAAAGCTTTTCTAGTATAATGATAAATCATCTACTGTGGTAATGTATATGTAGAAAATGGTCAAATCAGCATATTAGGTGAAAAAATATAAAAGTTTCTTAAGCTTCATATACCACTTAATCCTCTATGTTAGCCTAAATGGAAAAAGAAGAGCCTTCCACTGTGCCTTGAACATAATAAGGAAACACATGGGAAAAGGTAATCTCCACGGTAATCAGAGCTTGAAAGATCAATACTCACTTAGAATCAAATAGGTTATCAATTTCTATTCGTACTCAACCACTGTTGCAGCTGGAGGCCTTCAGGAATAATGACAATATTTGTCAGTAATGTACTATGTGACCTTAAAACAGTTGTTAATCAGATCTTTTTAAAAGCTACTTAAAACTGTGGAATGTGGCATTCAGTATTCTCCGCTTTTGGGTGCCACCAGTTTCATAGACTTCATGACCAAAAACAAAAGTAATTCTCTAATTTCATGTTTCTTTTTGCTATGCCCATCTGGGCTATTCTTGACATACCTTTGTTAAGGTTTGAAAACCTGGAAGGACTTTATCATTTATGTCAGGATAGAGATCAGCTTTTAGTGGCTGATGATGAAAAGTAAGGTTTTGCACGTATGAATGGGTCTTCGCTCACTTCAGTGTAATAGGTTAAAAATTGTAGAGACGAGTCCCATCCCTGTAAATTAATCCCTGCCTATGACCCACAGAGAAAAACAAAAAAATAAAAGCACCTTACATTGGCATCCTAGAATAATGAAGAAGTGGATTCTGAAGTTACTTTTTTTATAATCTTTTTTTTTATATTTATTTCTGAGAGAGAGCAAGCAAGCAGAGGAAGGGTAGAGAAAGAGGGGGACAGAGGATCCCAAGCAGGCTCTGCACTGACAGCAGAGAGCCTGATGAGGGACTCGAACCCACAAACGGTGAGACCATGACCTAAGCCAAAGTTGGACGCTCAACCGACTAAGTCACTCAGGTGCCCCTATTTATATTTTGAGAGATAGAGAGAAAGAGAGCAGGGGAAGGGCAGAGAGAGAGGGAGACCGAGAATCCCAAGCAGGCTCCACACTGTCAGCAGGAGCCCAAAGTGGGGCTCCATCCCATGAACCGAGAGATCATGACCTGAGCCGTGATCAACAGCCTGACGCTTGAACCATCCAGGTGCCCCTGAAGAAAGATTTATGAAACACAAACCATGAGCCAAGCACAATACTTGGTGCTAAGGATGCAGAGATGAATGAGACCTAAGGCACTAAGAGTCTGGTCAGGTTGTCTGGTGAACTGGCAGTCTGGTATGAGGCCCAGTGAATACTCGACATGGTGCATAAAGCTGTTGTCATTTTTATAACTCTGTGTCAGGTGAGCCACTCCAAGCTTTCCCAATATTATCTCATTGTATTTAATTCCCATAATTATCCCCAAGGTGTTGTCCTTCCCAATTAACACAGATGAAGGAACCGAAGCATAGTTATTTAACATCGCTACGTAAGGTTAAATAACTTGCCTAAAAGAAGGAAATGGTGTGTTCCACCAAGATTCAGATTTAGACCTGTCATTTTTCATTCCGTTTACCATTGCTACTTCTAGACTTGTTTTGATCCCTACTTTAATTAATGTAATTTAGTGATAAGCTACACCACATTAATTACCTAATGTTTAATAGTGAGTTAAAAATCTACAAAGCAAATTAATTAGTGAAGGTCATCTCAAAAAATTTTTCTTCCTAACTTAATTTCAGTGACATCAATTTGTCTTTCATGTCACTTAAAATCTTAAACAGCAATATGGACTTCCTGCATGCCTATCTGATTTACAGGTGAATCAGTAATACCTTCCTCTATTTATTGTTATATCATTCTTCATCCAATATCTTTGATCATACTTTTCTATCATCCAATACTGAACATAAAATATTGCTGATATTTACAAACTTATAACACTGATGACATCTAGCCACACTAAATTTCAGGAGGAGGCTGAGGACAATGAGTGTTTGTAGCTGTTGCCTTACAGCTAACGGCAACAAGAGACGTTCAAAGGGGCAAAGTCATGCTTTGTAGACATACAAGAATTAAGAGGGATTATATGTTAAAGAAAAATAACCATTTAGGAAAATGTTGTGGAGGTTTCTTAGCATTATTGAACCTAGGGGTGATATGTCATTCCTCCTAGACTTAAGAAAGAATCAAACCACAGAAAAAGAAATATATATTTATCTGTGTTATACCTGTAGTTAAAACTAAGAAAGCCTTGGTAAGAATGAATGTCATTTAATCTTTTAAAATTCAGAAATGGGTGCCTGGGTGGCTCAGACGGTTAAGCGTCTGACTTCGGCTCAGGTCATGATCTCACGGTTCATGGGTTCGGGCCCCACGTCAGGGTCTGTGCTGACAGCTCAGAGCCTGGGGCCTGCTTTGGATTCTGTGTCTCCCTCTCTCTCTGCCCCTCCCATGCTCATGCTCTGTCTCCCTCTGTCTCTCAAAAACAAATAAACATTAAGATAAAATAAAAAAAATAAATTTCAGAAACAAATTTAATGACATCAGAAATAATGTCTTTCTTCCAACACAAAAACTACACACAAAAAAACATTACAATTAAATGATTAGGACTGCAGATAGTTATCCCTAGGTTTTCTGCCATGGGAACATGTACTGGGTGGCAGACACTGTTTTTGTGAGGTAATAATGACACAATACCAAAGGGACTCGAGTTTATCTAGTCTTATTTGCACTTAATTTTATTTCATTCATTTCTTTGCCAGGTTATACATTGAGCAACTTCTATGTACCAGGAATTGTTCTAAGTGTTGGAGATAAAACAGTGAACATGACAGTTATGGAATCTGTTCATGTGGGGGAGGGGGTGATAGACAAGTTACAAATCACTTAAAAATAGTGTGACAAGTGTTCCAGTGATGTATTTAGAAAATATAGGTTGTATATTTTCATACAACCTGTATTTTCATACTGGAGATCTTGGCAAATCAAGGAAAGTCAGGAGAAAATGACATCTTGGCTGAGACATAAAGGATAGAAAGAACTTAGTCAAGTAAGGATGGTGAGGGAAAGGAATAAATTGGTACCAGGCAGAGGAAACATCACCTACAAGGGACAGGAAGTGAGAGCAATGTGGCACAACCTTAGAATGTGAACAAAGGAAGAGGAAAGATAATTTTCCAGATCATTCAGGACCTTTTAAGACAAACTGAATAGTTTTAGACTTTCTCCTAAGCCATTGGAGGATTTTAAGCAGAACTTTGCATTTTAAAAAAGATCATCAGACCGTAATATTGTACAAGTACTTTAGTGGACTTTCATAGGTAATCTAAGGTGGCCATTCCCTACCTAATTCCACAGTGCAGTGAACAGTGCCGGAGTGGTTTTCTTATTATGTATGGCCTTAGTTATTAGAAAGAAATCAGAGTTATAAACTAATAATAATGCAAAGTCATTCATCATTAAATCATAGAGCACTAGTATTCCATCATCTTATGGGTCAGAAGACTGAAGCCCAAGAAGCAAAATGGACTGACATTTTGTGACAAGTGCCTCAGCAGCCCAGTCAGGCCCAGACAGGTACCTCCTGACTCCTGGATGTAGGCATCTTTCCAGGTCCCTGCACTGTTCCGACCTCGTGAGGGTTTCAAAGACAGTCATATTTTATTTCGGGTGGAACAAGGGCAGTTGTGTTCAGAAGGGTCAAATTCCTGATTCTTCTTTTTGCTCAGGAACCTTTCACAACCTTCTTCCTCAATGCAAATGATGGAAAATTTGACCATCCAGATCGAACCTTCTCATCGGTTGCAAGGTCATGGAGAACCAGTCAGAGAGATACTTCTGATGTAAAGGTAGGCTCTTTTATTTGTTGATACTAATTTAATTTCAAAAGTGCTGAAATCTTGATTTTTTAATGTAATTGGCTATATAAGACATTTTATACTACAGTTTTCTTCCATCGTACTTTAAAATCATGTGGCACATCTAACCTAAAAGGAAACGAGAGGAAATAATCATGAGCATCACAGAAAATGATTCAGAATTCATTTATGTTATTCAGTTAAGGTATTTTCGTTATTTCAAAAAATTCCTATCTAATTTAGATCGAATAATCTGGAGATGGAAAGAAAAGGCCATAAATTGCTTTTCCTGCTGTTAACTCAATATTTGGCCCATTCCATAAAACACAGCAGGAATTGGATTTGACCTTAATGTGTCATATTGTTATAGCTTGCCCAGCTTTGGGTTTATGTAGCCTGGGGCAATTAATAAAGCATTAATGACAAGACCCATTTAAAATGTAGGCTTTTCTGTACAGCCTTAGCTTTTACTTGACTGTGCCTGGGGATACTATGCAACAATACACATTAGATTAAACCAACACACACACGATACTGAGGAACAGCCAGGGAGCGGAGTAATTTTACAGTTGGTACTACTTAACTATTATTAAATACAAAGATTTGTTATTCATTTACATAGGCTTTTGTTTAAGAAAAAAAAAGGTTGTATTCAAAACAATAAAATACATTTGTTCTCTCATCTTTTTCTCTGATAATGAGATATGATCAGGTTATTGCATAGGTATATGTGTTTCTTATCCTAAGCCCTCTTTCTTCAAGGCAGATTTTTCCCCATCACTGCCACTCATATTGTTAGATAAAAAAAAATATTATGGTATTATTACACTTAAGGTCTTAATCCAACAAAAGGCAGTGAACTAAAGTCAAAATTTTCATATTTTTGCTTATCTATTGCAAACATTTTTAACAAGGCAATTACAACCTTATGGAACTGTAAGAAAACTGGATGAGTACAACTTTGCTCAGTTCTTTTCAAAAGTGGAAAACAAACAAAATGGATCTAACAAGTGTGTAGCTAATCCATACATTTTGTTTATTGCTATCAAAGATAATTCGGAGCTGTATCCACATTGTATCAGATTTTTTTCACGTGAAAATGCCTGCTCACTCTCATTAGACATCATCACAAAAAAGAAAATTGGCTTTTCAGCCTAATTCAAAGATCTACCCCTACAAACCTACTCACAGATCAGTTAATCACTCTAATTTACATAGTTTTAGACTTATTTTCTATCCTGAGAACTTTATTGATGCTTCTTATCACCAAAAATATCTCACCAAGTTACAGGTCAGTCTCTGATGACCAATGTTCATACCAGGCTTTTCCCTCTTAAAACTGCTAGGATTTCTCCCGGCATATTCCTGTTGTAGAACTTTTAAGAAATGCATACATTTTGTTACCATTGTGTTGCTTTGGTTCCTGGGGGTCACATCACCAATGATAGTGGCCATCACTATCTGGGGAGGTTTTTCTCTTTTTTTATCCTCAAGCAGCTGTGCTGAATACAAACAGGACCTATTCCCCCAACCCTGGACTTAATTAGTTCATAACAAGCTCATTTCCCCAGGTTGACATCGCATGGATTTTCCCATCTTCCATTCCCTTTCATATTTTATGATAGGTGTACCCTGAATATCTTTCCATATAGATCCTTTCTTTTTAAAGGCTGCACATTGCGCACATACACAATAATTTATTTTGACAATCTCCTGTTTATAGATAGCTTGTCTTTCTGATTGTTACTGTTAAACACAAGGCTGTAGTAAACAGCCTTGCAAAGTCATCTTGATGAACTTTGGGTATATATGTAAAGGCTAATTTCTATTAATGGCTAAATGGCTATACACACTTTTAATTTTGAAAGATATTGCCAAAACATTATTCACAGAGATGGTAATTCACTCCGTAGAGCAGTGTGTGAGGATGCCTCCTTCCCCACAGCCCCCCTCATCACTATTTTAATAAATGGTGTAATTTTTGCTAATCCGGTGAGTGAAAATAGAGTTGTCTTTGTTTGGGCTTGCATGTCATTAATTATGAGTGAAACTGAGGATTTTGCATATATTTATTGACCTGTAAACTTACTCCAGTCTTTTCCCATTTTTCAGTTGGGTCATATGTCTTTTTCTTATTGATTTGAAAAAGATGTTTGAAATTGCATCAAGTTGCATTACAAGTATGTTTTCTCAGTCTTTGTTGTGCTGTATTTCAAGTGTGTGTGTGTGTGTGTGTGTGTGTGTGTGTGTGTGTGTGTGTCCAAATGTATCAGTCTTTCCATTTATAGCTGTCAGAGTTTGAGGGTCCTCATCAAGGAAAAGTTAGAGAAGTTTTTTGGCAATACTGGTAGTAACTTGAGGTTTTCTACATTCATGTTTAAATACACTGATCAAAGCGCACAGTATTTTTTTCCCTCTAAAATAATACTTCATTTAGCAGGGAAGAATATGTTACCAAGAGCAATAATAGCTTTTCTAACTGGGTGTTAAAAACCTAAGGTTTTGATTTCTTATCCCCAAGCTGTTAAATAAAGCATTGGATATAAATTTAAGGAACTGCAGTTCCATTTGTGAAGAAAAGTATGTCTGCTGTATTTACTTAGATAATCGTTTAAGAAAGAACTAGAATAGAGTAGATGGCTTTATTCTGTCTCTCTTTATTAAGATCATTCTCTTCCTGTGATAATGAATACAAGCTGGGCAGAGATGAAGTGTTGGTGAAGTGACCTTTCAGGAGCCAGTTCCCCTGAGTTAAGTCAGACTAGTTAGTTTTTTATTTATTTATTTTATTTCCCTTTTCTATAGTAGTCTTGGTAACACTGACATTCAACTTACTGGAGTTCTTACACTAAGATTCCTTAATGCCTTCAAAAGTTGTTATATTACTTTTGAATAGCTATGTAGATGTCAGAAAAGGTAGCTGTGACAAAATGTCATTAAGGTGACATAGTGTAAATTAATACAGTTAATGGAGGTGCTCACCACTGACTCATTGACCCATTATGAGCTCTTGTGGAATTAACGGATGCCAGGGCATCAATCTTTTGAAAAAAAGGGAAAAAAGAGATGGCAGCTTTAAAACCTTGCAGTGAATTATATTAGAAAAGTGAAAACGTCTGGGTTGGATTTGATTTCTCTAGGAAGCCATATAATGGTATGCTCTCTCAGCAAAATATATTAAACTGAAATGTCAGATTTGATGCAATAGGTATACAATTATGATAGTGTTAATAGTGGTCTTCTATCACTCTAAGACATACTTTCAAGTCCAATTTCTCAGCAGCTTGAACTTGTCATAAGCTTGTAAATTAGAAATTGTGTTTGAGGATATTTTCTTATTATTGACAGAATGCATATAACACTATTAACTGTACCACGGGGCTTTAGTGTAGCTGTTAAAATAAACCAGAAATCACATTTACAGACACATAATGCCTGTTATAATATTCATCTTGCCATTTCTTGAGTAATATTTGGTGTCTTTCTGTACTGTTTTTCATTTAGGAAATCTTAAGCTACTTGGACCCTTTCCTTAAAGAGAAGCTGATTAACAGAAACCTATCAAGGGGACGAGAGTAAACAGAAGAGCCTTTATGTGAAGTAGGCAAGATAGTGCCTAAAGTACCTCTGAAGGAGCACACTTAGAAGTTATGATAGTAGAGTTCATTCTTTTCGAATGGTTCTCCATAGTTTTTAAACATGCTTCTTGGTTAGTTATTTGACACAGTCTTCAAAACATCCCTGTGAAATAGCTATCATGATTCTCATTTTGTAAAGAAGGTTCAGAGATATTAAGTGGCCTGCCTAAGTTCACACAGTAGGGAAGGAGGAAGCCAGAAGTAGCACTGAGGTCTATTCAGTTCTTTGCAGCGTGTATTCATTGGATAGCAGGCTGCCGTGATTTTCCTGCATATGATCATATAACCACATCCAACCGCTTTAACTAGTTTGGGATAATTGGACCATCAAGGTTTACTTTAATCATTTATTGCTGTGTAACAAAACACCCCAAACCTTAGTGCCTTAAAAAAAAAAACTTACAACCCTTTATTTCCCCAGAGTTCTGCAGTCAGAATAGGGTTCGTCATGTACAGCTTGTCTCTGGTTCACCTGGGGTCAACTGGGGTGGCTTGTCTGGGTCTGGAGGATTCAAGCTGACTTTACTCACTTATCTGTTGCTTTAGCAAGAATGGCTGGAACAGCTAGGGCCTGGCTGGTCATCTTTCTTTACATAGTCTTTCTAAGAAAATCACACTTTTTTTCATGGGGGTTGCTACCAAAAGGTTGAAAAAAATGGGAACTGCAAGGCTACTTCATGCCTAGGGCTTAAAACTCCAATAGTGTTGGGGCACCTGGGTGACTCAGTCAGTTAAGCGTCCAACTCTTGATTTCAGGTCAGGTCATGATCTCATGGTTCCTGAGTTCAAGCCTCATATTGGGTTCTGTGCTGACAGCATGGAGCCTGCTTGGGATTCTCTCTATACTCCCCTCTCTCTGCCCCTCCCCCACTTGCACTGTCTCTCTCTCTCTCTCTCTCTCTTTCTCTCTCTCTCTCTCTCTTTTTCTCTCTCTTTCTCTTTCAAAATAAATAAATAAACTTAAAAATAAAAAAAGTCACTTAGTGTTACCCCTATAGCATTCTGTTGGTCAAAACAAGTCACAGGACGAGCCCAAATGAACTTTGCTTCCTGGTGAGATAAGTAGTGAAGTCACATTACAAGAAAACATGGTGGTTAGAAGGATTTTTTGTGACCATCTCTGCAAACAGTCTACTAAGGTCCTCTCTCCGATCACAGTTCACATTCCTCCTAAATGCAAAATATAATCGGCTTGTTAGCTACATCAGACTCAAAATCTCGTATCTCATGGTCTATATTAGGTCCAGATACAGATAAGGTGGAGAAATTCCTAATTAGGATACCTGGAAACTAGAAATACAGCTTTTCTGTCCCATGTACACTCAGCATATGATGGTGAGTCAGAAACAGGTG